GGTGAGAGAAAAAAAAAATGCAAAATGAGAATAGACATAAGGAACACAGAGACTCCATCAAACATAATAACATTTGTTTTATAGGGATACAAGAATAAGAGAAAGAAAAAAGAATATAAAATTTACTTGAAGAAATAATAACTGCAAACTTCCTTAATCTGGGAAAAGAAACAGATATCCAGGAAACACAGAGGGCCCCTAACAAAATCAACCTAAGGAGGTGCACCCCAAAGCAAAGAGTAATTAAAATGTCAAAAATAGTGATAATGAGAGAATTTTCAAATAAGCTTGAGAATTATATACAAGTGAAACCCCATTAGGGTACCAGTGGATTTTTTTCAGGAGAAACTCTGCAGGTCAAATATATTCAAAGTGGTGAAAGGAAAAATAAAACAACTCTGCAGCCAAGAATATTCTATCTAGCAGGGCTATCATTCAGAACAGAAGGAGAGATAAAGGGTTTCCCAGACAAACAAGACCTAAAGGAGTTCATGACCATTAAACAAGCCCAATGATAAATGTTAAGGGGACTCCTTGAGTGGAAAGGAAGGAACACAAGTAAGAATAAGAAAAATATGAAGCACACACACTGTAAATATAAGTATTATCTGTAAAAATCTGTCAAGGGATTCACAAAATAAAAGAATGTAAACCATGACATCATATATTTAAAACATAGGGAGGATAGGATAAAGAAGAAATTCATATCAAGGTGAATGTTACTTAAGTTTGATATAGACTGTTATAGGAAGAAGATGTTATATAAAAATATAATGATAACCACAAATCAAAAACCAGTAATAGATATGAAAAAAGAGAGAGAGAGAAAGAGAGACAGAGAAAACGAATCCAAGTATATCACTAAAAAGAAAGCTAACCTATGGTAAGAGAATAGAGCAAGGGAAGAACAGAACAGAGAAAACCTACAAAAACAAACACAAAATAAAAATATGGCAATAAAAGAAATACATATCAATAATTCCTTTGAATATAAATGTACTAAATGCTCCAATTAAAAGTTGTAGGGTGATGGAATGGATAAAAATATAAGATGAATCTGTATACTTCCTAAAATAACTCATTATAGACTTAAAGGCACATGCAGATTAAAAGAGAGGGAATGGAGAAACATTTATCATGCAAATGGATGTGAAAAAAAAGCTGGAATGGAAATACTTATATCAGACAAAATCAACTTTAAAACTTTAATAAACCTAGGAATAAACCTAACCAAAGAAGTTAAGGATCAGTACTCTGAAAACTGCAGAGCCCTTATGAAAGAAATTGGGTAAGACACAAAGAAATGGAAAAACATTCCCATGCTCATGGATTGGTGGAACAAATATTGTTAAAATGTCTATGCTACCCAGAGCAATCTCCACATTAAATGCAATCCCTATCAAAATACCATCAACATTTTTTCACAGAGCTGGAACAAATAATCCCAAAATTTGTATGGAACCAGAAAAGACCCCAAATAGCCAGAGGGATGTTGAAAAAGAAAACCAAAGCTGGGGTTATCACCATTCAGGACTTCAAGCTATATTACAAAGCTGTAATCATCAACACAGTATGGTACTGGCTCAAAAACAGACACATAGATCAATGGAATAGAATAGAGAACTCAGAAATGGACCCTCAACTCTATGGTCAACTGATCTACAAAGCAAGGAAAAATACCCAATGGAAAAAAGATGTCTCTTCAACAAATGGTGTTGGGAAAATTGGACAGCCACATGTAGAGGAATAAAACTGGACCATTCTCTTACAGCATACACAAAAACAAACTCAAAATGGATGAAAGACCTAAATGTGAGACAGGAATCCATCAAAATCCTAAAGGAAAACACAGGCAGCAACCTCTTTGATCGAGGCCATAGCACCTTCATGCTAGACATGTCTCCAAAGGCAAGGGAAACAAACACAAAAATGAACTGTTGGGACTTCATCAAGATAAAAAGCTTTTGCACAGTAAAGGAAACAATCGACAAAAACAAAAGACAACCTACAGAATGGGAGAAGATATTTGTAAATGTCTTATCAGGTAAAGGGCTAGTACTCAAGATCTGTAAAGAAGTTACCAAACTCAACACCCAAAAAACAAATAATCCAGTCAAGAAAGGGGCAGAAGACGTGAACAGACATTTCTCCAAAGAAGACATACAAATGGCCAACAGACACATGAAAAAATGTTCCACATCACTTGGCATCAGGGAAATACAGATCAAAAACCACAATGAGATACCACATCACACTATTCATAATGGCTTAAATTAAGTCAGGAAACACATGTTAGCGAGGATGCAGAGAAACTGGAAACTTTTGCATTGTTGGTGGGAATGCAAGCTAGTACAGCCACTCTGGAAAACAGTATGTACATTCCTCAGAAAGTTAAAAATAGAGCTACCCTACAATGCAACAATTACACTACTAAGTATTTACCTCAAAGATAAAAATGTAGTGATCTGAAGGCGCACCTGCACCCCAATGTTTACAGCAGTAATGTCCACAATAGCCAAATTATGGAAAGAGCCCAGATGTCCATCAACAGATGAATGGATAAAGAAGATGTTGTATATATATGCAATGGCCATCAAAAAAATGAAATGTGACCATTTGCAATGACATGGATGGAACCAGAGGCTATTATGCTAAGAGAAATAAGTCAATTGGAGAAAGACATCATATGATTTCACTCATATGTGGAAATCAAGAAACAAATCAGAGGATCATAGGGGAAGGGAGGGAAAATAAAATTAGATGAAATCAGAGAGGGAGACAAACCATTAAAAAAAACTCTTAACTATAGGAGACAAACTGAGGGTTGCTGGAGGAGAGATGGGTGGGACGATGGGGTAACTGAGTGATGAGCATTAAAGAAGGCACATGATGTAATGAGCACTGGTTGTTATAAGCAATGGATAAATAACTGAATTTTGCCTCTGAAACTAATAATATATTATATGTTAATTAATTGGATTAAAATATAATAAGATTTTTTTAAAAAAACACATTAACAAGAGACCAAGAGGACAGTATATAATCATTAAAGCTATAATCCAACAAGAAGGTATGACAACTAAAGATTTTGCTACCAATATGGGAGCACCCAAATACAAAAATCAGTTAATAAAAAAATATAAAGAAAGTAATTGATAATATTGCAACAACAGTAGGGGAAGTTAACACCCCACTTACATCAATGGACAAATCTTCTAACTAGAAAGTCAAGGAAAGAGTGGCTTTTATGACACACTAAACCAGATAGATTTAATAGATATATTCAGAACATTCCATTTTAAAACTGCAGTATACACATTTTCTTCAAATGTACATGGAACATTCTCCAGAATAGATCCCATATTAGGCCACAAAACAAGTTTGAAAAAAAAAATTGTTCAAGTTTACACCTTGAATCTTTTCTGACCTCAATACAATGAAACTAGAAATAGAACACAGGAAAAAAATCTGGAAAGAACACAAAAACATGGCGGTTGAATAATATACTACTAAACAGTGAATGGGTTAAACAGAAAAACATTGAGGAAATAAAAAAATACATGGAAACAAATGAAAATGAAAACAACATAGTCCAAAATCTTTGGGAGGCAGCAAAAGCACTTGTTAAGAAGGAAGTTTATAGCAATACAGTCCTACCTCAAGAAGGAAGAAAAATTTCAAATAAACGACTTAACCTTACACCTAGAGGAACTACAAAAAGAAGAAACAAAATCCCAAACCAGCAAAAGGAAGGAAATAATTAAGATTACAACAGTAATAAATTATAAATAAACAAATAAAAAATAAGCAAACAAACAAAAAATAGAACACATGAATGAAACCATGAGTTGGTTCTTTGAAAAGATCAACAAAATTAATAAACCTCTAGCCAGACTCATCATAGAAAGGGTGGGGTGAACAAAGGGAGAGGACTCAAACAAAATAAAAAGTGGAGAACTAACAACTGACACCACAGAAATGCAAAATATTGTAAGAGAATATTAAGAAAAATTACATTTCCACAAAATAGACAACCTAAAAGATATAACATAAATTCCTAGAATCATATAACCTTCTAAAACTGAAACAGGAAGAAATAGAAAATCTGAACAGGCCAATAACCAGCAAAGAATTTGACTCTGTAACCAAAAATCTCACCCCCAAAAAGCAAACAAAACATCCACAAACAGACATCTTCACATGCAAATTCTGTTGAACTTTTAAAGAAGAGTTCATACTTATTCTTCTCAAACTATTCCAGAAAATATATGAGGAAGGGGAACTTTCAAATTCATTCTATGAGCCCAACATTACCCTGATCCCAAAACCAAATAATGACACCACAAATGAAAGAGAACTACAGCCCAATATCTCTGATGAACATGGATGCTAAAATCCTCAACAAAATATTAGCAAACCAAATAAAAAATACATTAAAAAATGATTCACCATGATCAAGTGGGATTTATTTGTGGAATGTAAGGGTGGTTCAATATTTTCACAATAGTCAACATGATACATCACATCAAGAGAAAGGATTAAAAAAACACATGATCTTTTCAATAAATGTAGAAAAAGTACTTGATAAAGTACAACATCCATTCATGATAAAAACCATGGGTTTAAAAGAAACATACCTCAATAAAATAAAGGCCTTATATGAAAAACCCACAGCTAACATCATACTCAGTGTTGAAAAACTGAGCACTTTTCCCCTAAGGTCAGGAACAAGACAAGGATGTCTGCTCTCACCACTTTTATTCAGCATAGTACTGGAAGTTCGGGCCATGCCAATCAGACAAGTGAAAGGAATTAAAAGCATTGAAATTGGTAAAGACAAAATAATACTTTCACTGTTTGCAGATGACATGATACTATATATAGAAAACCCTAAAGACTCCACCAATAGAACTGAGAAATGAGTTCGGTAAGGTCTCAGGATACAAAATAAATGTACAGAAATCCATTGCATTTCTTTTTTCTTTTTTTTTTTTCATGAATAGTTGGGTTTATTTCAACAGTGGGTTTGAAACCCTCGCCTTAGGCAAGAGACTACAGTAATTATACCAGGAATAGACAATTTCCTACACTGTCAAATATATAAAAGTTCCTCTTGCACTTTCTTCAACACTGATCAACAAGCAGATTCAGTCCACCTTTGCTTTGATCATTCTACTGAGTTAACCCAAGCCTCTTCTTCAGAGACTCTGGCATTTCAGGTGGAGGAGGGCCAGGGAGCCTGAAGTAGACCTTCAAAGAGTCATAGAGGAACCACTGTAGTGCAGCCAGAGTGCCAATCATGATGATATGGGCAAAGAGTCCCTTCCATACACCTTTAAATCCAAGTCTCTGAAGAACTTGAGAAGCACTGCTGCCTTTTTCCTTATTCAACACAGATACCACGGAATCAGCAGGGTGAGAAACAATTGCACAGAAGACTCCAGCTATGTAACCTGCCACAAATGTTACAACCAGTTGCTCTGCCTTTGAACATTCACTTCCGGGCTTACGAACCACAAACTCGTACAATGCTTCAACAGTACGTTCAAAGCAGGCAAATTTCATCATGGTGTATGGTATCTGTCTCATCCAGACAGGGGCAACTCCCTTGTAGAATGCTTTTAAGCCTTCTTCCTTATATATTTTGGGAGCTGCATCCCTCAAAGTGTTGACATAACCTGGTTGGGTTTGAATTTGAACCTTAGCAGCTTCCATAGGAGCCAGGGCAATGTCAGCAAAGAATTCAGCACTGGCAGAAGCAGCCAAATATAATGATGTGCACCAGAGATAGGCATTCTCCTCCCCAAGCATGTTGCTATACAAGACTTTGAAAACTTCATAAAAGCCAAACTTGCAGAGCCCCTGCATAGAGTAGCCAGTGAAAGTCAGAGCCCATCCTTTAGCCAAACCACGAACACCATCCTCTTTAAGTGTAACTGAGAATCCATTAAATATGCCCTTGTACTTCTGGGGGTCCACCTGCATACAGCATTTCACTAAATCCAGAGGAACGACAGCCATGTGTGTCAGACCACAACTTAAGATCCCACCAAAGCCACACAGTGCATAAAACTTCAAGGAGCCATATTTGCAACTGTATTCTTCCACGGCAGCTGCTGCCAGATTGCGCGAACGGCGGGGCGGACCCGGGGGACCCGCGGGGCTGCTGCGGGGGCCCGTGAGGCCATCGTGTACCAGCTGCAGGTGGGGCGCTTTGAAGAGGTTCGCCAGTGCCAGATGCTACACAGACGAGAACATCTTCTGGGAGCAGGGCCCGGCACACTCCCTAAGATGGCGAACACACAACCGCTCCCTCGAAAAGGCTGCGGCTCACCCCATTGCATTTCTATACACTAACAATGAAGCATCAGAAAAAGAAATTTAAAAAAATCCCATTTACAGTTTCACAAAAAATAATAAAATATCAAGGAATAGACTTAACCAAAGAGGTTTAGAACCTGTACACTGAAAACTATAAAACATTGATGAAAGAAATAGAAGATGACACAAAAAAATGAAAAAAAAAATTCCATGCTCTGGATTGGAAAAACATATTGTGCTAAAATACTTATGCTACCCAAAGCCATCTACAGATTTAATGTAATCCCTATCAAAATACCAAGAGACTTTTTCACAGAACTAGAACAAATTATCCAGAAAACTTGTATGGAGCCCAAAGGCTCAGAAAAGCCAAACAGCCAAATTTGAAAAACAAAATAAACAGATGTATCACAATTCCAGACATCAAGTTATATTACAAACCTGTAGTAATCAAACAAATATGGTACTGACAGAAAATAGACACAGAAATCAAAGGAACAGAATAAAAAGTCCAGAAATAAACCCATGATTATATGGTCAATTAACCTTTGACAAAGGAGGCCAGAATGCAATGGGAAAAAGAGTCTCTTCAATAAATGCTGTTGGGAAAACTGGACAGCAACATACAAAAGAATGAAACTGGAACACTTTCTTATACCATACACAAAAATAAATTCAAAATGGATTAAAGTCCTAAATGTGAGAACAGAAACCATGAAAATCCTTGAAGAGAGCACAAGCAGTAAATTCTCTGACATTGGCAATAACAACATCTTTGTAGATGTCTCCTGAGATAAAGGGAACAAAAGCAAAAATAAACTATCTGGATTACATCAAAAGAAAAAGCTTCTGCACAGAGAAGGAAGCAACCAACAAAACTAAAAGACAACATGCCAAATGGGGAAGATACTTTCAAATGACATATCTAATAAAGGGTAAGTATCCAAAATATATCAAGAAATTATACAACTCAACATCCCAAAAAACAAATAATCCAATTAAAAACTGAGCAGAAGACATTAACAGACGTTTCTCCTAAGATGACATACAGATGGCCAACAAACACAAGCAAAGGGGCTCAACATCACTCATCACCATGGAAATGTAAATCAAAACTACAATGAGATATCATCTCACACCTGTCAGAATGGCTGAGATGAAAAACTAAAGAAACAGCAAGTATTGGCAAGGATGTGGAGAAAAAGGAATTTTCATGCACTGTTGATGGGAATGCAAACTGGTGCAGCCACTATGGAACACAGTATGGAGGTTCCCCCCAAAATGTAAAAAATAGATCTACCCTATGATCCAGTAATTGCACTACTGAGCATTTACCCAAAGAAATAAAAAACACTAATTTGAAAGCATATATGCACCAGGATGTTTATTGCAGCATTATTTACAATAGCCAAATTATGGAAACAGCCTAAGTGTCCATCATTAGATGCAAAGATAAAGAAGAATTGGTATATAAATATATACAATGGAATATTATTCAGCCATAAGAAAGTATAATCTTGCTATTTGCAACAACATGGATGGATCTAAAGACCATAATGCTAAGCAAAATAAGCCAGTCAGAGAAAGGTAAATACCATCTGATTTCACTCAAATGTGGAATTTGAGAAATAAAACAAATGAACAAAGAAAAAGACAAACCAAGAAACAGACTCTTAACTATGGAGAACAAACAAATGGTTACCAGAGGGAAGATTGGTGGGGTGATTGGTGAAATAGGTGAAGGATATTAAGGATACACTTATCTTTTTTTTAAAGATATACTTATCTTGATGAGCACTAAGTAATATATGGAATTGTTGCAAATGCTATATTGTACACCTGAAACTAATACAACACTGTATGTTAACTACACTGGAATTGAAATGGAATGGAATGAAATGAAATGAAATGAAATGAAATGAAAAATAAAATAATTATTGATAGGTATGCAACTTTTATTTGTTTTCTGGCTGTCATAGTTCTGTTTCTTTCTTCTCTTGCACTCTTTCTTTCTGATTGATATTTCTGTAATGTTATATTTGGCTTTCTTTCAATCTATTTTGTTGTCTATTTATTATATATTTTGTGTTTGTCTTTACAAGAAGTTCATGTATAACATCTTAATATATAGCAGTCTATATTAAACTGATGGTCATTTGAGTTCAAGGACATTCTAAAATAAAATTTCTTTGATGTTTGACATTTAATTATTTGTTGTAGTGTGAACCTCCTTGGGTTTATTTTGTTTGCAACTCTGTGCTTTTTGAATCTTGATGTCTATTTACTTCCCTAGGTTAGGAAAGTTTTCAGCTATTATTTCTTCAAATAAGTCTTCTGCTTCTTTCTCTTCTTCTGGGGCACCTTTCATGGAATGGTTTTTCCCTTGATGTTGTTCAAGATATCCCCTAGCTTATCCTCATTTTAAAAATTCTTTTCTCTTTCTGTTGTTCAGTTTGAGTTCTTCCCATTTTCCTGACTTCCAGATTGTGGATGTGTTATTCTTCATCCACTTATATACCTCTAGTATATATGTTATTTCAGATATTGATTCTTTTATTATATTTTCTATCTTTTTTATTGAAGATCTCACTGACTTCTTACACTCTTTCTGGTCCAGTAGATCCTCTTTATGATCATTATTTAAGTTATTATCATGCATATTGCTCACTCCATTTCTTTCAGTTGCTTTTCTAAGGTTTTAACTAGTTCTTTCTTTTGGAAGATATTACTCTGTCTCCCCATTTTGCTTGAGTTTCTGTGTTTCTTTCTATGAATGAGGCAGAACAACTACGTCTCCTAAACTGGAAGGAATGGTCTTGTGTATGGTCATTTGCTATGTAGATTGTCTGTGCTTGGTGAATTTTGCTGACTGACTATAACTGGCTGTCATGGGCTGGGGGTCTAGGGATTCTCCACACAGTGGGCACCCAGGAAGGACAGCTAAACCTGATGTGCACACAGATTGGTGTGGTCCCTTTGCTCTCCATTCAGCAGGTGACTGGCAGAATACATAAGGCTAATATGGGTGCAAGGTGGGTTAGCCCAAGGCTCTATGTGCTGAGGGAAACTTGGCAGTATAGCTGAAGTTGAAGTGGGTGTTACCCTGTGTGTCTTGGGAATATCCACAAAGAGGATGACCTGGCAGTGTGGCGGTAGATGAGGTGGGATACAGACCAATATTTTCCATGGATTTCTATGCAGCAGGCACCCTGGCAGGACAGGTAAAGCTGAAATGGGCTCAGGTTGGTGTGTCCCAGGGTTCTATGCATTGAGGGCACTTTGGCAAAACTTCTGAAGGTGAAATTATGCAAACCATAGTGTCCTAGGGTTCTCTGTGCAGAGGATGCTCTGGAAGGATGGCTGGAGCTGAGACAGTGTGGGGCCTGAGAGGTCCCTGGGCAATCTGTGCATAGGGTGCCCTGGCAGGATAGTTGAAACTGCAGTGGGTGAAATCCATTGGGACCCAGGGCTCTAGGCAGAGTGCACCTCAGCAGGGTAGGTGAAGCTGAAGTGGATGTAAATTGTTATGTTCCAGGACTTTGCACAGAGGGTACTCTGGAGGGGCAACTGAAGCTAAGGCAGGGCATAGGCTGAGTGGTCCTGTGGCACTCTGTACACTGGAGGCCCTTTCAGCACAGCTTAATCTGAAGTGGTCACAAGCCACACTGAGGGCAATCTGGTAGGATAACTGAAGCTGAACTGGATGCAAACCAAGGTCTCCTGGTGTGATCAGTGCAGGGGGTCCCTTGACTGGGTGGCTAGTCCTGAGACCAGTGGAGGTGGGGTGTTCTGGGACACTCCACACAGGCAGGTAAGCTAGATCTGAAGCAGATATTATCCAGGATATTCTGGAACACCATGCACCCTAGGTGTACTAGCGAGCCATCTATCTGAAGTTGAAGTTGTGTGGACCTAGAATATTCCAGGGTGCTTTGTACCTGTGTCACCTTGGCCCAAAAGCTGTTACTGTAATGAGTGATAACCAGGAGTGTCCTGGTATGCATCATTCTGTGGCCCCTTTTGGTGAGATAGCTGGGGCTGGTGTGGCATAGGGGCCCAAGGCTCACTAAGGTCGCAGACCTGTTAGGGCACCAGGACTGTGCACCAGTCTGTGCCTCCAAGGTGGAGGGGGACCATAAATCATATCCGTCAGTACCCCCCACCCAGGGAGAATTCAAACAATCCGCTTACCATTTGTAGGAGTTATAGGGCTGTCTCTTTTATATATTATTTGTTCTTTTATTTTTATTTTTTTATTATGTTATGTTAGTCACCATACAGTACTTCATTAGTTGTTTTGTTTTGTTTTTTAAGATTTTTATTTATTTATTTGACAGAGATAGACACAATGAGAGAGGGAACACAAGCAGGGGGGAGTGGGAGAGGGAGAAGCAGGCTTCCCGCAGAGCAGGGAGCCCGATGCGGGGCTCTATCCCAGGACCCTGGGATCATGACCTGAGCCAAAGGCAGACGCTTAACAACTGAGACACCCAGGCGCCCCAGTACTTCATTAGTTTTTAGTAGAGTTCCATGATTCATTATTTGCGTATAACACCCAGTGCTCATTGCAATACGTGCCCTCCTTAATGCCCATCACTGGGCTAACCCATCCCCCCCCCCTCTGAAACCCTCAGTTTGTTTCCAGGAGTCCATAGTCTTTCATGGTTCATCCCCTCTCTGATTTCCGCCCTTTCATTTTTCCCTTCCTTCTCCTGATGTCCTCCATGCTATTCCTTATGTTCCACATATAAGTGAAACCATATGATTGTCTTTCTCTGCTTGACTTATTTGTTGTTTTTAACCGAGCCTTTTTTTTATCTGTGCCCCAGGGCATCTTGGACTGATGTGGTCTAGTACTCTACTGTGCTAGATAAGATGTTAGGCTGGTTAGTGCTTTGGGGCTCTGCTCCCATTCAATTAGTAAAGGTGGAGGGAGA